GTCGCTTTGTCGAACCCCTTTTGAAATTGGTAGGCCAATATGGCGATGGAAAAGCTGTACCGCTGTAGAGCAATTCTTGTAACAGTCGGCCCAAGTCCTTACATAAGATGAACCAGCCCTTGGTCGACGAGCGCTGACAGTATGGCATTAGTCTCGATGTTGTCAAACGTTTTCTCATAATCGACGAAGGTTAGGACGAGAGGTAGACCGTACTCTCGGCGAACCTCGATCCTCGAAACTGTCTGGATGTGATCCACACAGCTAAATCCCTGGCGAAATCCAGCTTGTTCTACAGGCTGGGCTTCATGCAGTGTCCTTGATTTGCGAGTGAGAATAGTCTCTGTGGAGAGCTTATACATGCTCAGCAGGCATATTGGACGGTAGTGTCGAAGATCCTCCCTGTCGCCCTTCTTATGAAGCAGGATTGTTCGGAGTTTTCCACTGGCCAACCCTTTCGTTTTAAAGGTAAGACCTCAGGTGCACCGCATGTATCCAGTATAGGCGATGTCCTCCCGCTCGCAAGAAGCCGGCCGAGAGGTGGTTTGGTCCCGGAGTCTTAGCTGTCTTCATGGTCTGGATTGCGGTGCGTACCTCAACAGGTAGAAACCATAGGGTATTTTTGCAGTGAAATTAACGGGATGACATGGATGTGATGAGCGGTATTGGTGTAGAATCTCTTCTTGATCAATTCCATTTCCTGTTTATTAATGTTGTCAGCGGCGTATGGTAGTGAAGAAGGTCCCGGTGGTACTCTGACTTCTTCTTCCCTGTGCTGCTTCCAAAAGTTTCGATTGCTTGTACTTTCGAAGATCTTCTTACAAAGCTGTTCTGCAGTTGGTAATGGCTACTCTCGAGGATGATACAGTCGGATCTAGCCTCAGTGCTGCTGTCTTCTCAAGCAATTCCTTGGTGGCTTTTGAAATGTTCCAAGTTCCTTTTTCGAAGCATTGAGACACTTTTACCACAGGCTCTCAGTCCTCTGAGAAGCAGGACGTAGTACTTCGTTGGATCCTCCTCGATGAGTCAGTTACAGGTGCTCAGGAGCTCCTCCAATCTAACGCCGTTATATGTAACTCTCTTCCTCCAACACAGTGACAGATCTTCTTTTCCAGGTTCTGGCTTGATCGCGCTTTTGCGCGAAAGAGATGGAGATCTGAACCAGTGCTGAAGGATGGCAACACTGAGATATCCACGATGGGTGTACGACAAATCCAGCTCCTTTGATTCCGTGATGGAACTTTCTCACCAAGAACGATGAGTATGCCATCACTCAGCTGCCTCACCTCCGTCTTCAACTTTCTTTAGTATAGAGCGATAAATTGGTAGTTGATGCGCCCTGCAGCTTCGAGAAGAGAGTGAAGGTCAGCGCTGGTATGCCGTGACGTTGCAGCTGCAGAGCATGAGACAATCTCCATAGCTGGTCGTTGACGTGTCCTTTTGGTCGAGATGGCCTCCTGTGCAAGCACTCTGGTCTTTAAGAGACGCCGGAGATGTGATGTAGTGTGTAGAGGTTTTGTTTCATTTACATGCTGTGCAAGCGATAGAAAATTCCCAAAGTTAGCAGCCTTATCAAGGCCTCCAAGCTTTCGCCTCAGGCAATCGCTGACCTATATGGATCGCGGAAACATCTAGCAATTAAGCCAGCCAAAGGTGGAGCTTCTGGCACGGTCTACTCTTGGCTGGGCATCCGGAGAACCGGAAACCTCAACTCTTCTTCCGGAACTTCTCATCTTGGGAGACCCTGCTGGAGGATAAACCGTTCTTCGCATTTCGATACTCAGAGGCCTGCCGCGCCACAGAGGCAGTAAACCATCACGGGTGCATCTCTAAGTTTCGAAGTGCAAGACCCTCGTGACATTGCTTACGATGCGAAATTCAACGCCGCCTTTTTCCATACCCTACCCCAAAAATTGATCCAAAGTCAGGCGAAGTCAGTCATTCTCCTCTCAGCTCCCTTAGAAGAGCACTTCTTTACTGAAAGCACTTAGACATTTAGACGGTATCTCATTTCTGTTACCGCTATCGTATCTCCTTCACTGTATTGAGTAGTATTGGTTAAGTTGTACCGTATTGATGGTAACGACGCTTCTTCGAAGTATGATCGCCATTTTTCATTTATTTGCAGTGGTGTTCTCCATGTCTTTCCAAGCTTGTCTTTGATATAGCAAAGGTGTTTCATTTCCTCGCGGACTCTGCTTTCCTTCTATGCTGCGTAGATTTTTTCTTCATGGGATTCCAACTTCTGTAGCTCTCTTACATTAAACCTTATGCCTTATTGACGTATTTCGTGCAACGCCTTTCGCCCGCAGGTATCGCCAAACGTTGCACTCCTTTCGCCTTATTTCATCTTGTATGCATTAGTTTTTCCATTATTGGCGCTTGTTGTTTTACCACCATCAGGTCTCTTTATTAAATCTTCTTTTTGCTGAATTGCACGACCTAGCCATTCCCTTGTCATGTGGTGGACGTAATACCAGGTTGACCATAAATGCTTCAGTCTTTCAAATAGGGCTGGCAAAGTACATGTCACTGGTTCTTACCCGAAGAGTTTTCTTCGAAACTTATGAAAACTTAGGCAAAGAATATCCATAATATTGAATGTTTACATAAGTTTAACAAAAGTGCAAGTTCTGTCACTTTACCTGTTATTATGCAGTAAAGAAGGAGCAATCAACAATTTAGTTTCAGCTTTTTATAAGTTCCAATCATATCATTTCCAGGCGGATTTGACTCCAATATGAAATGCTTAGACAACGCTGGTTTTTCTTCATTTCGCCAACAATAAGCATTTAAGGAAACAAAAATTCTAGAGATGATAAGGACTTTTCGAAATAAATCGGTATTGTGTTCCTTTCACGAAGACGTCGCGTTTTCCCTTATTGCTGTGATTCTTTTTGCGTTAATGCACATTCCAATTTTCTCAGACAAGCAAGACAATTATGACAGAGCTTGGACTTTTCTAAAAGTTCACCTAAGTCGTAGGCGTAAAAGCGGTTTCTTGCAAAGCATGAACCACAAGATTTATTCTCCATGCTTTGTTACAAAACACTTGTTACATGACTGAAAGAGCAGCAAAGGAGAAAATTAAGCATTTAAGATAAGCACTAGCCCAC